TGTATGCAAATTGGATTATTCACATCATCTCCTTATTGTTATCTTCTTTGCTTAACCTCCTCCATGCCAACCCAAGCCTCTTCAACAATTTCCCTAAAATTTTACTTGCAAAACTCTGTTAACCCAGGTATATTATAGTTGATCTTTTCACAATTTTCACACTAGGCAGGCAGGGTATTACAGAATTACAGAGATGCCTCCCCAAGTGATATAGTGTCGGAGGGAGAAGCTTAAACCCCCGAAGACTTATAAGTGTTTCTAAAAGCATGTTTAATTTCAGTGTCTCCGAACATGTACTAGTAATTGCTGTATCGTTCTGACACAATGTAGACACATTTATCTGCCACTTTTCCCATTCTAATTAGTGTGGTAGTAGAGTTGACACTCATCCTCTCCACCCCCTGCCCTGAGAGACAGAAGGGCATCCAGGGAGCAGACCCCACCCACACCCACATGACTGTCTGCCTTTCTGAGGCCAGGCTGGCCCTCGCTGAGCTCTCCACAGGATGTGTAGGGTTTGACCACTGCCTTTCCCCTGACTGTCAGAGAGCTCACCTTTCAGGGGGCTATGGGGTTGGAGTGAGGTCGGGCTCCTGGTTAGAGCGTCTGTGATGCATGTTGAGTTTTCCCTACTCCTCCCTATTGATCCGAGACCAAACACCTTCCCATTCGTCCACTTGGGAAAATGGTGGGTGGTCTATTAGATGAGTCAGTGCCCACTGGTCCTGAGTAGTGAGATTTACTCAGAGTAAAATCAAAATAGACATACTGTGCCCCTTCTATCCACCGTAGGACCTGACCCCACCCCCTAAGGCTCTAGAGTTGGGGTGACTTTGGGCATATGGAGAATAACCTTTTAAGTCATTATTTTCCTGGGGCTTGGACTATGTGGATTTTGTCAAAGAACTCTTTTTTTCTTTTTAAAAAACTAGTCCTTTGGGGGAATATAACTAACTTGAGACTCTAGGAATTCAGTGTTCCTTGGAATCTCTTTTAAGAACTGCAGGAGTTAAAGAATCATTGCATTCTGATCCCGGGGCACAGATGCACCTCACAGACCATGTCATGTGGGAACCAGAAGTCAGGTCCGTGTTTCCTGGTTCTTGGTTCCCACTACTGAAGAATGGTTACTGCTGCTGAGTTGACGGAGCAAATGAGTAGATCAACAGATGTAAGCAAGCAAAGTGCCAAAGTTTATTAAAGCATAGTACATTTGAGAAGGAATGGATCAACCCATAAATGGAGGAAATGCTAAGTTTAACAAGATTTTCTCTTTAATGATGATTTCCTAATTTTATGTTAAGTGGGGGGAGAAATATTCATGGTTTTTCTTGGAAAAAGATGGAGAATCCTTGGAATGGCGAATCCTCCCCATTTTTAACCTTGTAAGGCAATTTTAGGGAGTTGCCATGGTATTTGTAAACTGTCGTGGTATGGGTGGGTCTGATTTTTACTATGTTAGTGAGGGTAGACCACTTGAGAACAGTGTTACCTTACTTGTACACATGTTTCAAAGGACCTCATTTGTGGCTTTGGTCATATCTCCACTTTGTGGCCTTTTTCCTTTTTCTGGTTGGTCAGTCCTTGGAGACCCCATATCATAGACCAAATATCTGGTCAGTCCTTGGGGACCCCTTGACATATCATCTGTTCTCTATTGGAAGCTCCCCTTCTGGTCAATTTGATTCTTCTAGTAGACAAAATATCGCCTAACAACATCTATTTCTCAATAGAAACCCCCTAGATAAAGCATCTGTTCCTCTTCCTCCTGTCCCAACCTAACAACCATGAAACCCTCCCTGGAGGCCTTGTGCATGTTCAGCTGCACGTTATCATTTGAATAAGTCATGATAGACTTGCACATGGACTATAAGACACATCCTGAAATCTGAAATCTCAGGGGCTCAACACAGCAAAGTTTCATCACTCACTCACATAAAGTCTGGTCTAGGTCGAGTGGCCCTCCTCATCCTGCGGCTACACCATCCAGGATTTCCAGGTCACTGCTAAAAGGGAAAATAGGGATTGAGGGCACACACTGGCTTCTAGCTGCTTCCGCCCAGAAGCAACATAGTCCTTGAGCATGAACTAGTCACATGGCCCGGACAAGGAGGAAAGGTGACATGGGAGCATTTAGTGAGCACCAAACCACTCTCTGCCATATCATTCTTACCTCAGAGTGGTTATGACTTACAAGGTGAAGGAGCTTGTCTTTTTTTGTGTGTGTGTGACAGAGTCTCACTTTGTTGCCCAGGCTAGAGTGAGTGCTATGGCGTCAGCTTAGCTCACAGCAACCTCAATCTCCTGGGCTCAAGCAATCCTTCTGCTTCAGCCTACCAAATAGCTGGGACTACAGGGATGCGCCACCATGCCTGGCTAATTTTTTGTATATATATTTTCAGTTGGTCAATTAATTTCTTTCTATTTATAGTAGAGACAGGGTCTCGCTCAGGCTGGTTTGGAACTCCTGACCTCGAGCAATCTGCCCGCCTCGGCCTCCCAGAGTGCTAGGATTACAGGCGTGAGCCACCATGCCCGGCCTGAAGGAGCTTGTCTTGCTCAGAAAGTGTCTCAAGGTTTGGAAATAGCAGGAGCTCTCTTTAATGGGTTCTATTTCACGGTTCCTAGAATAGCCAATGATCTCCATTCTCTCTGGGAATCACACGGACTGATGTGCTCAGCACCCGCTGGCACGCTCTCAGCTGGGAGGTTGCTCTCGAGGTTTGCTCATTCGCTTCTGTTCCCACCCCTCAAGATGGCTGTCAACCAGGTGTAGAAGACCGTTTATAAAAAGTATTCATAACTAAGCCCCTCCCTTGAATCTTCTCTGGCCTTGTGACTTGCTTTGAATCATAGAATGTGACAGAAGCGACATGGTGCCCGATCTGAACCTGGGCCTGATGAGGCCTTGCACACCATGGCTCACTGACCAAGCCCAGGCAGCCCACGGGAAGACGGCCCAGTCGCCCCCGTCACCTCAGCCCACATGCCATAAAGCCCAGAGCAGCACTGCCCAGAGGTCTTGCAGCAGACACGTGAAGGGCATGAAGGAGCTCCGCGGAGCCCAGCCTAGATTCCTGAGTGCAGAGTTATGAGTTTAAAACATGTCTTAAATCCCTGAGGTTTGAGGGTGGTTTGTAATAGAGCAATCGTACCAAGGCTCAGTGTGTTCCCAATAGGTTTACGCCAGCTGCATTGCTTTGTAATTACATAATTTAATTATTTAATGAAATATTACTTCAAAAGTATGATATGAGTGTGAAAGTGAAGAAATTTATTCCTATGAAAATGAAATTGAATGCGCTGTAAAGACTTGATATAAACATGGACCTTAAAAAAAGGTCAAATGAGGTGTGGCTGAGATCTCTGTAATAAATGGAGGGCAAGCCGTAAGAATATAGAAGGATTCTATCCTCAGGCTGTTTCCTACATCTCCTTAAGTTTTTAGTCCGTATTAACCAAGTGAAACTGAACAGCACAGATGGATTGGATTGTGAGAGTGAGACAGAGGCCACTGCATAGAGACAACAATAATTCTACGGGTTAAAAAGATTAAATTTTATTTACTTGTTTGTTTTTCTATGTAGGAGTCCAAGGTGAGTATTCTGGGTTAGAGAGAAGTCTGTTTTGTGTAATCATTCAGGGATATAGGGTTTTTTGTTTTGTTTTATTTTTTTAATCATTTAGATCTGCAGACCCATAGGTCTTTGTTGTTATTTAAATGGTTGAAAACATGTTTTCATGGTTCTGGAATCAGGAAGAGGAGAGGGAGCATGGAAGAGCCCGAACCCTTACCTAAGGCATCAGTCCAGAAGTGACACACATCACTTTTGTAAGTATTCCATTGACAAAAGCTGAGTCACATGGCCATACCCAACCGTAAGGGAGATGGGAGATGTGTGATGATGTTGGGGCAGAAACATGCTGAGCCATAATCCTATTAGTATAAGAAGGAGAGAATGGATTTAGAGGAAGAGCCAGCAGCCTCAACCAGGATGCTGCATGCTGACTATGGCTTTTGTAAGAAAGATGATGGGAACTAGACTCAGTGGACCCATACCCAGTGGAAAGGCCTTGGTGAGCAGATAAGCATTTCCATGTTCTAAATAAAAATAACATGCTTTTGATAGGATGTATCTGACTTTATAACTTGTAGCCTTGATTTCTTAAAATTAGTTGACCAGTTATAATGGCCTTGCTTATGATAAACATGAGCACTTTTTATTCTTTCTTTCTCTGGAGTTCTTTAATATCTCTGTATCCCATTTTTTCTTTTATTTTCACTTTTGGGGGTTCAAGAATATGGCATAAAAATATAAAAAAGGAAAGAATATGACAGACACTCGAGTGCCTCATGTTTTGAAATGATGTATACATTTCTGAAGTAGCCTCCTGTTTTTACAAGAAACTGTAGCATCAGCTCAGTGCTTGAGATGTGGCCAACTCACTAAGATAAATCTAAATTTATTCATTCCCTAGTCAGTGCCAAAAGAAGATAAGGTTAAAAATTAAAGATGAAGAGAAGGTGCTTCTCAAGCCCTATTTTGCTTCCATGCCGCACCTGCTAAATGAGTTCGAATAGCTCCATTATCTTGGGAGCCAAGGACACGAGGGCTTGATTTTTGGCAATGTAGTGAATTATTGGAAGTCCCGTCAGCGCTGTTTCCCGTAAATGTCTGAATTTGTCCTGTGCACCCAGGAGAACCATTTGAAAGATTGTGTGCTGGCCCTTGGTTTGAGCATGTGCCACTTAAGAGTCCTGTGGTTTGAGGCCAGCTCTCCCGGGCTTGTCCCTGAGCCAGGAAGACTCCAGTTTCAGTTGTGCCTGTTCAGGGTGCCTACCCTGCTTTGTCCTCGGTGCTTCTTAAAGAATCATCAGCCTTGTCATCTCACCCCACCCCTACATCTCCCTCAGTTTACATGTGTGGGCCTGAGTCTGGAAGGGATCTTGGAATAAAAGAATATTGTCAAACTTCAGAGGAAGTCATATTTTTCTCCATTTGTCTACCCGAGTTCTCTGAAGACTTGGCCTAAGAGTGACACCGTTAAAGAGGCTAAAAGACACTCAGTAACAGGATATGACGGATATTATACAGTTCAGCAGTGTGAGAGGGCTGGTTTCGGTGTGTCAGCTTCCTGTTATTGTCTGTCTGCTCGGCACAGATTTGGTAGATACTGTTTATTAAAGGTGGGATTTTTTCTTTTTTCTTTATTAAATAAGAGAATCAGGGCTCTGCTGCAAGCAGTCAGAAATTCAAAGTTGCTACATCCTAAGTGTAGGTTTGGATGGTGAAGATCCTGGTAACTTCTCCTTCTGTATACCTGTCGCGTGCTGGGCATTGAACTGAAAGGTTTACGTGTGTCAACTTCATTCAGCCTCCACAACAATCCTGTGATCATTGTCTTCATTTACAGATAGGGAGTTGAGTATCCAGAGAGATTAAATGACCTTCCTAACATCCAGCTATCAAGTTGTGGAGCTGGCATTCAAATCCAGTTTTCCTCTCTTAGTTATAGCTTAGAATGAAGGGCACACAGGAATGGTGTTTATTCCAGAAAATTTAAAAAGGTGCATTTCAGGATGAAAGAAAAGAGGTCTGTCTGCATTGCTCACTTTGTGGAGGATGCGTGACAGCACAGGAAAATGAAGGCAAATTATAATTCCTGATGTGACTGAGACAGTTACCACTCGTCTCTCAGAGCAAGTAATACGAGTATTCCCCCATATTTTGCCAAGGTCTGAGCATGGACTCATCCTCTCCACTCCAACTTTGCATGCGGTTCTTGGCAGCTCTGTGCAGATATTTTTCCATAGACGGCTCCGCTGTGGCACTTCCTCCATGCAGACTATGCCAGAGCCCACTTCATCAGGCTGTTCTCTAGCTTGAAACGTACTCAGAATGTGTCACTTCCGAATTTCCACATAACCTTGGGGTTTAGGAATGTCAGTTGTTTTTTCCTGTTCTTTCTGGAAATCTCTGTTTTAAACTGGAGAGGAAAAAGCTATTCAAGGTGCTCATCATCAGATTTATCGAAAATACCATCTGGCTTTGGTAAATGATGCAAATGATGAAGTCCTCATTAGAACCCAGACCTCATAGTCACAAGTGCAAAGTGATTGGAGGAATGGGGGTTCGGGGGGCGGGAGTGTGAGGGGGAGGAGGCCAAGGGCTGCAGCAGGCGGGAGAGGAAAGATATGCACCCTCACGTGAAAGGTGGGTGCCCCTCCACTGTGCCCTTGTAGTGTTCTGTGCTTCCTCTCTGTGGTATTAGAATTGCTGGTTCTCTTCTCTGTCCTCCCCTCTAGACTGTGACTCCTTGAGGGTAGTGCCTGACATTTACCAGGGGACCAGCAAATATTCATTGAATGAATGAACCGATGAATAAGAGCTCTGATCTTCAATTCAGGTGACTATATATATATGTATGTATATGTATATATATGATATATACCTCAATATATGTGTGTATGTGTGTGTGTGTGTGTGTGTATATATATATATATATATCTCAAAACTCACTTTAATTCCCCCTCCCCCCCAGAATGGAATAGAATTTAGAGGAAGGCCATTTGAGTTAATATTCTATGTCCAGAGTTGTACTTTAGTATTTTGCCCTAACGAGGTTTTCATTCCTGACTGTACATTGCAATCACCTAAGTATTTTTTTTTTTGAGACAGAGTCTCACTTTGTTGCCCAGGCTAGGGGGCTGTGGTGACAGCCTAGCTCACAGCAACCTCAAACTCTGGGGCTCAAGCAATCCTACTGCCTCAGCCTCCCAAGTAGCTGGGACTACAGGCATGTGCCACCATGCCTGGCTAATTTTTTTTCTATGTATTTTTAGTTGGCCAATTAATTTCTTTCTATTTTTAGTAGAGATGGGGTCTTGCTTTTGCTCAGGCTGGTTTCAAACTCCTGACCTTGAGCGATCCACCCGCCTTGGCCTCCCAGAGTGCTAGGATTACTAGCATAAGCCACCGTTCCCGGCCCACCCAAGTATTTTTTAAAACTAGCAAGAGTCAATACTCTGCCTTCCTTCCCCTGATATTCTAATTTAATTGGCCTGGGGTAGGGCCACTGGAAATCAGAATTTTTAAAAAGCTTCCTAGGTGAGCAATCAGGGTTGAACATCATTGTCCCACATACACCAGGAGCATCTGTACCTTATGGCTGATGTAACACACAGATGGGTCATGTCCTGCAGACTCTGAGGCTGGTGGGGAAAGACAGAAGACACGGACATTTTCTGGAAGCCCCACTGGGGCTCAGCTAAGATACTGCTATTAAGTAACTGCTCATCTGTAGGACATCGGAGCAGGAATTTAACTGCTGTCCTAAGAGAGCCTCGGCATTTTTCCTGCATCATCTCTCTCCTCCCAGTGGTCCAGTCTAACAATAATGGCTTATCTGACAAATCTGAGAAGAAGTTAAATGTGTAGACACAACTTCCTGGTAGAAATGGCTGAACTGAAGACACTAAAATTAGGAACAGATGTTTAAGTCTCTCTTGCCCTGAGAATAGGTTTTTGAACTGTGTTTTAAAATGCTCCGATGCCTGAAGAGTCCTGTGTATGTGGTCAATGGAACAAGAACCATGATTGTTTTTCCTAAGCTATTACAGGCTTAAAAAGTTTTCTGGCTTCACTGATTTCTGAATCTGTGTGCCTCTGTCATGGAGTTTGTGCGTGAGGCCAGTCGGGTCAGCTTCCTGTCTGCCGAATGCTGGGGGGAAATGCAGGAAGTGGAAAGACCAACTATGTTTTCCTTTTACTGTTAAACCTCTATGTTCTTAGTATATCTGTGTTTAGCTTGCCATTTCCTTTTTCTTGAAGGATTTAAAAAGTGGATTTGGCTTGACGCCTTTATCCTGTACCCTTTAAAGGAAAAAGAAGGATGTGCACAGATACCTTGGAGTTTCTCAGAACAGGCACACAATGTGCATTTCCAGGGTAAATTGCAGAGAAATGGACCTTTACAAACACTAAGCAATATTCCCTACATGAGTTTGGCTGAAAGTTTTACATGCAGGAGTTTTGATTAATTGTTGTCAAGAACTGTGGAAGGTCTGAGATTTTACCCCCTTGCAAGCTAGCAGATTAGCCTGCCGTAGTTTCATGAATGTTGGCACAAGACCAGAGGCTCCTGGGAGAGAGACAAAGAACTTTATTACTCACAGCAGTAGCAGTGACCAGAATCTTAGCAACTTCCTGTGGCTGGGTGATACAGAGAGGACCAGGTGACCCCTGCATAGGCAGTGGGTTGTGTTCCAGGAGAGGACCTCTCAGCTTATGGAAACCAGATCTTTATTACATTGGGCAAAGCATGCCTGCCCTGTGCTCCAGAGCGTGACACTGTCTGTCTTCCAAGGCTATTCGCTAAACAAAGATCCTTGAGAAGATACTCTGAACCAAGGACTGTCAGTGCTTCTGCTTGTGAGACACGCGGAAACGCCTGCCATCCATACAGAATTGTAAGTCAGGAATAACATGGAGTGCTCATGGAAGTGTGGATAGAACTGAACACTGAGGGAGACAGCAGACTTTATAAAATTCCCTAGACCCCATCTCAAATGTAACAAGTGAGCACACAGTTCCCTTGTGTATCAGCAAGCATTTGCTGTCTGACAAACCACCCCACATACCTGGCTCAAAACAACCGCCACTTATTTAGCTCAGAATCCTGTGGGTCGGCTGGGTGGTCCTTCTGGTCCTGGTGAGCTCAGCTGATGTCAGTTGGGCTCATGCATGCATGAGCTGGTGTTTGTCAGACTCTCAACCAGGACAACAGAGACAACTGGCCAAGTGTCTGTTGTCACCCAGCAGACTGGCCCAGGCGTCTTCATGTGCCGGCTGTCATGGGGATCTCAGGAGCAGCACGAGAGCAAGCCTCCTTCTGTGAGTCCTTTTAAAGCCCCTGCATCACATGTGCAGCCCTATAACAAAAGGAGGTCACTTGGCCAACCTGAATTCAAGAGTGGAGAAGTAGACTTCACCCCTTGAGGGAGGGGAAGCATTTGAGGATTTTTTTCCTTCTTCCACATTACAGATCTATGGTGGGCTACTTTTATCTCATCCACTTTCATTCTCACTTGATGAACTGTTTCAAGTTTAGCAGTTATGGAATTTAGGAAAACCTGAGTATATTTATTCAGGGCATAACTATGCATGGGTTTTAACCCCACTCCTGGTATCAAAATCTGTATTGGAGTTCATCCAGAGATGCAGAACCAGTAGGAGATTTCTATATATAGAGTTATATTTTTCTTTATCTATATATTTGTATCAATATCTATATCTCTATGTTAATATTTGTCTATCTATACACCTGTTCATAAATCCATCCATTTATTTATTACAAGGAATTGGCCCATGTAACTGGTACCGACCAAGCAAACCTAAAATCCATAAAGTGGGTCCTCAGGGTTGGAAGATCATGGCAGACTGGAACTCACGGTCAAGGGTTGAGGCTACCGTACACAGGAAGCATTTCTTTTCAGGGAAATCTCAGCCCTAGTTTGGAGGTTTTTATCTGACTGATTAGGCCTATCCAGATTGTTCAGGATAACCTCTCTTACTCAAAGTCAACTTATCAGAGAATTCAATTATGTCTGCAAACTATCTTCATGGGAGCACCTAGATTAGTGTTTGGTTGAATAATCAGGCACCGTAGCCCAGCCAGGTTGACACAGCAAAAAAACCATCACACATGGGTGGGATTGAGGGATGGGGTAGAAGAGAGGCTTGAGCACGTGCTCAAAGGTCCGAATGTATTCCTTGGTGCTTCCCTAGGCAGAAGAGTAGTTGATTCAGTAAACTGATAATTTTCTAATGTAGTAATAATCATGCAAATAGAATAACAACCTACTCCAATGGTGACCCATGTGAAAAAGGCTAAGGGATCTTGGTGAGACCTTGAGAAACACTGAGCTTAAAGGGCAGAGGCCAGGAGTAGGTGGGGTGCAAATGAGCCTTGAGGGGCTGTGGATGTTTGGCCTGCCTGTGATTTCACAGGGACTTGTTCTCAAGCCTTGAACATGCTACTTCACCTTCCTTGCCTCTCAGGTTCTTCACCTATGAGTAATTATTACTTCCAGCAATAATGTAGCTTAAGTTTTATGCATTGAAAAATTCCACATCATCATGTACATGTGCACACACACATATATACATACACATGTGCGTTTACACAACAAGCCTTCCTGCAGAGGAGTTCAGATACAGGCAAAACTTGAAGACTAGGGAACTAAAGTCAGTAATCTTAACAACTGGCATGACTTTACATTGCATTTTTTGAATGTCATTCAAAACTGGGCACCCATTCAACTTTGGGTCAGGGTCAAAATGTATACACTGAGATACTACCATAGACAAGAAACTCTTTGTGGGTTCCTAGGAAGTTTTTTTTTTTTTTCTTTTTTTGAGACAGAGTCTCACTTTTTGCCCAGGATAGAGTGTTGTGGTGTCAGCCTAGTTCACAGCAACCTCAAACTCCTGGGCTCAAACATTCCTCCTGCCTCAGCCTCCCGGGTAGCTGGGACTACAGGCATGCACCATCATGCCTGACTAGTCTTTTCTATATATTTTTAGTTGACCAATTAATTTCTTTCTATTTTTAGTAGAGACGGGATCTCTCTCTTGCTCAGGCTGGTTTTGAACTCCTAACTTTGAGTGATCCTCCCGCCTCGGCCTCCCAGAGTGCTAGGATTACAGGCATGAGTCACTGCGTCCGGCCCCTGGGAAGCTTTTTTGTCCCATCCCCTGACTCCTCCAAATATTCCAAATACTCCAACTGCTTCCAACACCTAACATTTTATTGACAACAGAAAAGCCTTCCTTTCATTCAATATTAGAAATAAGCTTAAAATATAAAATATACTTGGGAGAATTAAGAAGGGGAGCAACCTGTTCACAGCAAGAGGAGAATGACAGATTATTTCACTTCTTTTTTAGATTTTGATTAAATAGGGGAACACCTTTTTGGAGGGCTCAATGGACAGAGGCCACCAGTACTTGGACAGATGAGTTGAAAGATGGCAGTAGATCGAATAGGGGTATTGACCCCTAGTGGTCTGGTTGAGAACTGGCCCAACTGATCTACCGCACAGAAGCTTCAAGAAGTTCTGCTGACTTGTGCTTTTATTTTCTTGATCCTTCTCTAGAAAACAATAATAGTGACATGTTTGGCCAGTCAAGCCCATGTGATTATAATGAGTCTGTATCAGATTTATCTGCACTTTAAAAGGGAAGTTGATCATGAACAGAGCTCTTCCTTTCCAGGCTGTAGTCCCAGAGGTCCATGTAAACAAATGCTGATGTGGGACTTGCTGGGAAAACCATGCCAGGATTTCTTCAGGCAACAGGAAGAGTTGAAGTCCTAAAAATGTGTCTTGAGGGCAAAATAAGCCCGAG